AGGCTGGTTGGGTTTTGAAACTACCGTGTTCCTACTCAAAATACAATGCTTGAAGTCTATGCTATAGACAACGGCTCGGGCACGATAGTCGCTGGCGTTAAACTTGGACGCCGCTACCGGCTCCGGCAACCTCGGCACGTCCTTGTGTTCTCTATGCTAGTATGGGCATGAAGTCGGTGTCGGCCACAGACGACCTCTTGATCGATGAGATTGGCGTGGTGGATGGCGTGCCGCGGGCCATCGTGAGGGACCTCGGTGCGTCCCCGCTGGTGCGTTAGTGGGTAGAGCGGGCCAAGCTATGAGAGTTTAATCACCAAAGGAAGGAATTTCCCCTAAAAAACCAAAGGAAGGAATTTCCCCTAAAAACCAAAGGAAGGAAATGGTTTCCTATATTTATGGGGGGCGCTGACTGTTAATTAGTACTGCTACTCGATTTGTTTCTTTCAGAAAAATAATCACATTATGAAATGGAATGCAACATTACATTATGCCGTGCAATACGATAACTATATTATGAAAAAACAATCACATTATGAAACGGAATGCAACACTATATTATGCCCTGCAGCACCATAATGTTGCATTATATTTCACCTGTACCGTTGCACCGCGATACTACTATAAAGGAATGCAACATTATATTCTGAAATGGAATGCACATATGCAACGCGCCAGTACGGTGCAATGCTCCAAAGTAAAATTGAGGACTCATGCGGGTTTTCCAACGACACCGGGGACGCGAGAATGCGGTAGAAGGAAAATTCTTGGATTCCCGGGAACTTTTGACAACCCTAACAAGTCCGTCCGAAACCTTTGTTTTGAAGACCGAAATCCCCTTTGCTATGTCCACTAGAACTCTTCCATGTTCTTAACTCTGAGAAAACAGAATGCCTAGCGAAATCCATGCGACCCAGAACCGGGCCTTCTCTTTATATTTTACCAAAAGGGAAAGAGCAATGGAGCAGCTCCGTTCTCATTTTATTCTGTTTATTACAGGGGCAATGGCCAATGGAGCAGTTGATGCGACAGTGCTCCGGTCTCCAGTCCAACCCTTTGTCCAATGAGGGCACGCCACGCCTCGCAGGGCGGGTTGACCATTCCCCCGTAGAAAATCATCATCATTATCATAGTACTCCCTCCGGTCCTTTTTACTCTGCACATTGGATTTGCCGAAAGTCAAACTTAGCTAAGTTTGACCAAATTTATATTAGAAATTATTAGCATCTATAATATCTAATAAATATAATATGAAAATATATTCCGAGATGAATCTAATGATGTTGGTGTTGTTATGTAAATGTCAATAATTTTTTATATAAACTTGGTCAAAGTTGGATGAGATTAACTTCAGACAAACCTAATATGCAGAGTAAAAAGGACCAGAGGGAGTATCGCAGTACAACGGCACAGGCGATCGCGCACGCGACGGCTTGCGTTGATTGGATGACGCTGTTAGCGGGGCAGGTGGATTCGCTGATGCCTGGGAACATGACGGCCTCCTTCTGCGTGGACCGGCCCGCCTTGGCTCCCTCCTCCCACCACCTTCCTCCCCCGCGTGCGTGCCTGTCTGTCTGGTCATAGGCTCGCAACCTTTTGACAGGTTGATGCAGTAATCCCGAAGCTGGTGTGTTTGGATGTTTGCACGGCAAAGAGACCACCTTGAATTAATTTCAAATACCCCTAAAAAAATCAATTTCAGAAAAAGCACAGATTGAATTTCTCGGTAACCACGCCCTTCCTTTTCTTTCTTTTTTTCCGCGACGAACCACGCTGTTGTTCATCTGAACATCTCTCAGAGTATCTAAAATATCACCACTTCTTCCAAGCGACGTGTAAATTTTGGTGGCCTTGCATTATGCAGAAATTTGACAACAACACCGCATGAACTTTGCAATTCTCCAAAATTAAAGGGCCCTACCTGTCTGCTATGGGAAAAACAGGGTCAGACAAACCTTTCTCAACACATGTTTACCCTCTTAATTTATTTTCTTGGAACCATCACGGCCTGAAAACCGAATAAGTTTAAATAGAGAAACTGAGACGCTTGTAATAGCCCAGGCCATGATCAAGCAGAATAGGTGAAAATACCGCTAACCGCTACGAATGAACTTGTTGGCTTTGGCCAGTATCCCGATCGAGCTGCTGCTTTTACGCACTCACTCGCGACAGAATGTGCAACACCAGTGGCAGCATGAGGCAAGCAGTGAGCACCATCACAGTCACCCTAGTTCCTCAACACCCCTAACCTCCCAGAAAGTTGCACACCGAGCCATTTGCGCTGGCAAAACATCTATCTACGTTGCCACAAGAAACAATCACACGTATCCCTAATCTTCGAGCGATGAAAATGGCTTCTCATCCAGTGCGTTTGAACAACAGGTTCTTCAGGCTGGCTCGTACAGACCCAGCACATGCCCGTCGATGCATCGTAAGGCTGCAACCTGCATTATTAAAAATAACTATGATGTAAGAAGAAACCATGAATGAATACTAGTATCACATATAGATGTCGAGGGATGTCATACTTTCCCATGGATCTCGTATTTGATCGGCCCGTCCAACTCGGCTCCCAGAGACATTAGCTTTGTTACTGTGCTGGTTATGTCCGGTACGGTGAAGGACAGCATCGAAGAATAGGCTCTCTGTGTTGCAAGGGTACTGCAAATATGTATGAATATTCAGACAAAAGCAGTCATAACATAAGTCATATTTTGAACAGCTTATAGATTGTACAGCTTAACTTATAGATTGTACAGCTTCATATTTTGAACATGACAAACTCCTCTCGTAACATAAGTCATATTCATATGATGACCATATTCGAAACCCGCAAGAAAGACTAGACAAACTCCAAATCTCCAAGGATGAGACATGAATTCAGTCATGCATTTTCGTAGACTACCCTACTACCCTAGCTATCCCAGAACCAAAGTAACATAATCCACCAAGAATAAAATATAACATAACCTAGCTTGAATTCAGGACACCAGCAGAATTAGGAGATCACATTTTTGAACTCTTATTTTATTGTTAAAGGTTCTCTATTATAAATTAGGAAGTCCTACAATGCATAATCCCTAGGGCATCTCAAATCATCATACTGATGAATGCAGTATAGTATGTATGCCTCCTTTGGAAAGACTTACACAATGAAACAGGCTATGACTCAGCTTGGAGGTATTTTACTCCAGAATAATGAGCAAACCAGCAACGAAGCAGATGAAGCAATCATGTATGCTTGAGAGCAGTCTTAGTTTGTCAGAGCCACAATGTGCATTTGATAATTGATGCATATTGGATATATGGACACTACCTAGGGTAAGTGATGAAATTAACAAAAACGACCCTTCTACAGACCCACCCAAAACACATGAATTTGCGATGCCCATTTGCAACCTGTAGCTATTTAAAAAACTGAAATTAGAGGGGAAAAACTTAAGCAACCAGCTTATTTTACCGTGACTTTAGCACCCAGTTCGTATCCACAGGCAAAGAATTTCTGGTCATGGAGCTCAAATTTTCAGGCATGAATAAGTTACTTACTGCCTAGATTTCATCTGCTTGGACACACCCACTATGCCATAAGTTTTTGAGCAGCTGACTAAAAGAAATGCTTCGCACATGGAATTGAACACACACATTTATGCCATGCCGTAGCAAGGATCCCCTCGGGCCTCGGCTACATTCCATCAAACACTTCCACAGCCGCATCCACCTAACCCTTCAAACCCATACGAACTATAGTAATTGACGAGGAGAGGGCAGTGCAGCTCCGAACCTGTCATTAGTGTGCATGAGCGCTAGCTTGAGCGGCCCTGACTGGAGCTCTGCAAAACGGAGTGTGCAGACGTTGACACTGAAGTCGAGCCCCTCTGCGTAGAATCGTGCCGCCCGTGGCACGTCGCGGTGCATCTGGATCACCCAACGCAGCGTCGCCGCCGCCATTCTACACCAGGCGGGGCCAGGAAAATTCTAGAGCCTGGGCAGACCACAAGAGAAAAGAAATTGTTAGGAAATCCTTCATTTCTAACCTACCAGTGGCTAGCGACGGAACTTTCCAAAAGTGGCCACGGGTGGTAATTATCTTGAACAGCAAGAGTGCGTGCTTGGTAGTTTTTGTTGCAAGGAGAAGACTTGACACAATAAGAAATTTCTTGCTGTGAGGTTACCAGGGTAATAATAGCAGTGCAGTAATGCAGATTTATTATACTAGTATTTGTGTATAAAATGGTGTCCCGCAAATTCATTCAACCAATTGACCCATATCACATCATTGCTACCAAGAACTTGATAAAATGAAAACCTTCCCCTTCCTCTGAAAATTTTCTACCCTATTCCTATGAATTTTTTCTACCCTATGAACCAACGGAGGCTAACAGTTCCAAGTTCGAGTTCAAGTTCAAATGAATCATTGAGCAACAGGTAGCCACACAATTGACAAGTACTGGTATTTGGAATCAATCAACTAGCGCTGGCAGAGTAGTAGTACAACTGAATGGACCGACGATTCCTCAGTTCCTCATCTTACCCTAGCCGGAGTCAGGGGAGAGAGCGGATGCTGAGACCGTCAGAGCAGCCGCGAGCCCGGACCTCGCAGCGGGCGCGTCGCTCTTCCGTGCTCGACGGAGATTGCGGGGGTCGCCGCAGAATGCCCGGAGCGCCGGAACCGCGCCGCCGCGCGCCTGCCCGTCGCCGCCGTCTGACTCTGGTGGGGGATCAGGGGAGGAACATCACGGAATGGCTTCCAAGTTGGGCTGGAGCATGGGCAACTGACAGACATTCATCAGAAAGGGCACCCGCAGCCCAGTAATTTAGGCCCGGCCCAGCCCAGTCGGACGCCGATAGAGGAGAGGGGTTTGGCCCAGGAGATACCGCCAGCCGCCTTCGCCCCCTCGCCGACCTCGAGAGCTATCATCCCACGGACCAGCCGCCGCCGCCGCCGTCGAGCACTCGAGCGCCGCGGAGACCACAACTGGTCCTAGGGTTTCGATTCAAGCAGGATGGGGAAGTCGAAGAGCAAGGGCGCCAAGTTCGCCGCCGTCAAGAAGATCATCAGCAAGAAGACCATCAAGAAGTGAGTCCCTCGTTCCCCTTTGTGATTTTTTCGTGGTTTCGTATGGCCGGAGCCCTGAGATGGGATTTGCGCCGGTCGGTCAGGTACAAGGAGGAGGTGCTGGACCCCCGGAAGAAGGACACCGAGAAGGAGAAGCTCGGCCGGAATGTGTGAGTGCTTGGATTTTGGGCGACCTTCTTTGGGGGTGCTCGTTCTTGATCTAATCGATGTCTGCTCGCAGGCCGCAGGTGTCGTCGGCGCTCTTCTTCAGCTACAACATGGCGCTCGGGCCGCCCTACCGGGTTATTGTTGACACCAACTTCATCAATTTCTCCATCCAGAACAAGGTCCGTGCGCCGAATTAGCCTACTTTGTTGTTTGTTTACTTGTTACTGGAAGCCCCAGTGTAATCTTAAGTGTACAAAGTATTTTGTGTTCACCAGAACCTGTCTTACAACTGTCTCGTTTGGACAGCAGACAGTTTCAAGTTTGCATTCAGCAGCGCTCAAAGCTTAAGATGAAGTTTATTTTTCTTATCGGCAAGTTTGAGTTGTACCATTAGGCATGTGTACTAGTTCATGTGCAACGGTTAATGTATTCATTATTTCATTTGCTTGTGTCATGGCATAGAAAACCGAAGCTACTAATTATTACCAGATAACAAACCACTATGACAGCCAAGAAAAATGGCCAGGATAAAGTGGTTATAATACTGCAATTAGATTTAGTCCACTACCCTTGGTCATATGCTTTGCTAATGCTAGTGATGTTCTGGTCAGCCGTCAGACTTGTCTTCATGCATACAAAGTTATCTGCCTGACTTGATGCTTCTTTTTTCCCCATGCAGTTGGATTTGGAGAAAGGAATGATGGACTGCCTTTATGCAAAATGTAAGCTTATAGCGCCATTGTTTTGCTGTCAGTTGTCTTTTTGATATGTGGTATCGTTTTTCATGTGTATATTGAATTGCGCAATTCTTTGCTGAAAAACCTAGCATTGCTATGAAGGTACCCCCTGCATCACTGATTGTGTTATGGCCGAGCTTGAAAAGTTAGGACAAAAATATCGTGTGGCTTTGAGGTATATTCATGCCCAACAATTGCTGTACTATTTGCTGGGCCGTCTATCTATAATTGTGCTAATTGCACATATGTGTGATTAGTGTTTGATATTGTTATTTTTTTTATCCATTAGCACTTGACTTTTATTTTTTGCGATTCCCTGTATCACAGAATTGCTAAGGATCCTAGGTTCCAGAGGCTGGCGTGCACACACAAAGGAACTTATGCTGATGACTGTATCGTTGAGAGAATTACTCAGGTAGGATTCTGCCTCCTCGAATTACTTGTTGTGTACTTAGAGTGGAGGTACCAGCAATATTTGTGACCTTAAGAGATTGAAGATTGTTCATTTAGCGGACTACCTGTATAATCTCCATAAGTATGTCATTGATATGAAGACCATATTCTTTTGGCGTTGCAAACTTGCAACTAGAATCAATTGCAGCGATAATTTTGAAGTATGGGTTTGTTCGTTCATTAAAGATCAGAACTGTAAGATTTTTAATCTTTTATGATGCTTTTGAATAGCAAAGTGGCACTCATTCCCTTTTCCCGAGGAGTTGTTAGTTGATTTGCCTTCTTCGTTTGTGGTATCAAAATTCCTTCCAAGGTGAATGAATAGGTAATGCATGTGAGCAGAGCCTCTTTGTGCCCCTGCATATACTCTCTCCAGTGTGTCAATTGTGCCTATGCAAGTACCATATTATCAATACAAGTTTCCTACAAAGCGTGCGGTCAGAATTCTCTATCTTCGACCACTGATTGATAAATATATATTTAGATTTGTTATAAGATAGAAAATGTACCATCAAATTTGTCATGAAGAATGGCTTCAGAATATAATTTTTTATAATTATTCACACACATATTCATAGAAAAACAAGTCAAATATGCTTCAGTTTGCTCGTAAGTAATACCTTCTTTATTGCTTTGGATTATAAGTTCATCTTCAGATGGCCAGTCAATAGTCACTTTGTTCTATGTTACCTTTTATGTTAAACATTGGGTTCAAGTGTAATAATTTGAAACCATATGCTTTCTGTAACAGCACAAATGCTACATTGTTGCCACTTGCGATAGAGATTTAAAGAGGAGAATAAGAAAGGTATACTTGCTTCCTTAAAGCTCAGCACCAGGCCTTTGAAGTGATGTCCTTACACTGATAATGTGTACATGCTGTCGATTTGGCAGGTTCCTGGTGTTCCAATCATGTATATCACCCAACACAGGTACTCAATAGAACGACTCCCTGAAGCCACAATTGGTGGAGGTAATAATAGCTTGCTCTAGTGACAGTTTCTGTTCACTGCTATGTTCTGTTTATCTTATTTTGTTTTGGCTGTGGTAAATCCAAGACCTAACTCATGCGCTGGTATCTTATGCAGCACCAAGAATCTAATTAGCCATGCGATGGTACCAAAGGCCATCACACTTGCCCAGGTTCCTTGATTTAGGATGGATATGAGTACTGCTATGCTGAACCAAGCTGATTGTAACCACTTCAAAATCGTGTACCAACCTCCTTAGGGGCATCGTTTTCATAAATTTTGGAAGAAACTTTAGAAGAAAGTGTATCGTTGTCCTCTGTTTTGAACTGAACTGTAGCCAACTTCCCAGCTTGCTTGGTGTTGTTAATGTTGCAGACTCTAGAATATATTTTATGTAATATGTAAGTGTTGTCATATGGTTCAGTGCTTTGGCATGCTTCTGGTTCATTGCACTCAGTTGCCAAGCCAACATATTGTTCTGGGTCTTGGATTTTGTAAACTATCTGTTCTGAAAGGAAATGAGCTCAGTGTACTCGTAGCCGAAGCTTTATAAGCTCATGTATGACTCTCGTAGTGATAAATATAGTTCAATTACTGTAGTGATAACTGGAGTTGATCTACGGGGAAGCTCCCCCGATACAACAACTTTACATGACAAATAAAAATGGTGGCCACATGGTCTCTGCTCTTGGTCATTGTAGAGAATCATGAACCTTTATTTGGTACTACCTCCTTAAGTTACAGAGGTAGTACAACATGTACATTCACATCCAACCAAACCGTATTATAAAAGGTGGCATAGGGCAAACCTACTACCACATAATTTTCTTCAGTGAAAATAGAATGGAGGAGACAGGGAGGGAGACAGAGAGTTTATCACCATGCCCTGTACACTGGGGTAGTGCCATGCTAGCAAATCATGAGCTTGAGAGGCTTCAGGACTTAGGGTTCACCTGGGTGCCAGCTCGTAGTAGCATGACTGCACCTGTTGACTCACACTGGAACCACATAGAACAATTTAGGAGGGCACATGCTGGGGAATGTGAGATAACGATCTGCCTCGAAAGAGCCCTCTTGTTGTTGTATAAGTAGAATCATCAAAGGTGGATTTACATTTAGTGAGTATTTGTACTTGTCATCGTGTTCTTTTGATGAGCGTGAATACTGCTTTGTTTTTTTTCTCTTGCATATAATGCAGTAATAGGATGCACTGGCCACTTAAGCTTCACAGGCTCGTGCATGTGCAAGAATAACTGTAGACTAAAGTGGCCAGTAGTGAATTTTATTTTATGAAATGTGAAATAGCTGCATCCAACCAACCAAGCCAATTTTGCTGCTTTTGTTTAAGTGGAGTCGAAGCATAGAGATTCTCATCATACGCTGGATTTCAATAGTTGGGAAGTTCTACAAGTTATTTTGGATCGTTGTCAATGTGCCAAGTGATTTTCTGAGAAAGGGCAGTGGCTTCCATTTGTCCTCTGCTTTTCCGATCTACCGTCTGTATTTTGATTCTTTAAGCCCAATATAGGAGTGAAAACAAGATGTAATAAAAAAGATTGACGTGGAAAGTTCGGATTGAAATAGGATCTCAACAGGAAGATCACTTGTCATTTACTGGTTATTAGAAGCATCCCAAAAGCGTCTGGGGCACAAGTGTGGAAATAGGAGAAGGTAGTGGCGAAACGAGCTGACCAAAAGTGGGATCTCCGCAAAAGTATGGTAGAGCGTGTTGTGAGTGTCTACGTGATGGACTTGATTCACCAAAGATAATGAAAACGTAAACCCACAATGATTTATGCGCTAGGGAGACCGTTTTGTCTTTTGTGTCTTAGCAATTTTTGAATCACGGGCCATCCCACTGAAAGGAGTAAATAGCATAAAACTACTAGTTTACAGGCTAGGGTTCTAAAAAACTGCTGGTTTTTTATTTTTTGCTGATAACTACTAACTCGGGGGTTGGCTGTTTTAAAAAACCCCAAATGCCTGTTGTTTAAAAATTAAACCTGTTTATGACAGGTCGGGCCCGCACATAAACATTCCGTCTATTTGACCGTGTTGACCGTTAACTGACATGTAGGGCCCACATGTCAGTTTCGTCTTCCTCTTCACTTTCTTCTTCATCCCTCCCCTCCCCAGCCTCCCCGTGGTCATGAGTGGGAGGTGCTCGCCGGAGCTCATGGTGGCCGCCGGTGCAGGCGAGGCAGGGCATGGCTGCCGGCGCACACAGGCGAGGGGGGGGGGGCATGGCGGCGGCCTCCACCAACCGCGCGCCATGGCCAGGGGGAGGGACTCGACGGGCCGCGTCGGCAAGGGCTGCCGCCATCTTTGCGCCATGGCCAGGATCACGGGTCGCCGCGCCCAGGAAAGAGGGAGAGTGAGAGAGTTCGTGCGGCAGGGGAGCTCACGGCGGCTGCAGGCGCAGCTCGCCGGTAGGAGGAGGCCGCGACCGCCACGCACGCTGGAGGGAAGCTCTGCGGCGGCGCGTATTCGACGGGCGACGGGCGACGGGAGGGATTTCCGCAGCGGCGCCAGGGCTTCTGGCCGGCACGCTCGTCACAGCGGCTGCTGGCGGGCGGGCACGGCGGCGGGCGCGCTCCTCTCGAGGCGCGAGCAAGGACCCGATTGCTTTTTCCATAAAACAGTTAGGGACCCGATTGCTTTTTAAAAAAAACCTATAGGGACCCGATTGCTTTTTAAAAAAACTTACAGATACTGACATGTGGGCCCTACATGTAAGGTAACAGTCAAACAAACGGTTCTCTTACATGCGGGTCCCAACTGTTATAATCGCGATCAATTTTAAAGCACTCTGTGATTAGAGTTTTTTGAAACAGCCAACCTCTGACTTGGTAGTTATCAGCGAAAAATTAAAAACCAGTAGTTTTTTGGAACACTAGCCTGTAAAGTAGTAGTTATGTTATTTACTCCACTGAAAGACTATACTAAGACAAAACGATGGTGGTACTTGCACAATAGTGAAGCAAAGTTGTCCACCACAAAACTGCTAGTGTGAATGTGGACCAGAATTCCATTTATAGTTTTTCTGTTTAACCCAAAATAAGGGAAACATGATTGTTAAAAAACCCCTTAAAAGTGAAGGATGTTGTAGAAATTTGATAGTAATTGCTCGAGTTAGTATCAACAATTGGATGTGAATGATACCACATTACTCATTTTATACTCTTGTTTAATTGCTTCTACCTTGAATGGGCATGTTGCGGATAAATTCATTGTTCCACAATATTATATTATCATCTCACAAGTGTACACTCAAGCTCTAAGATTTTTGTGTGAATTGAATACTTAGTCAGGGCTCAGGTGTTTGAAGATCTTAAAGTGTTTTCGACTCATACTAATGGGCACAATGATATATGAGAAAAGAGTAGTATAGGTTATATACGTATCTCATCCACCATAGTTTTTTTTTGAGAGGACCATAGTTTCTTCTGAATGAGCTTGTAGAGGTTTGTTCCATGCAAATGCTGAGATGATATAGGGGTTCTAGATCATCGTGTGAAATCTCTTTAGTTAGTGTGCTATTTGGTTTGATTATTAGTGAGTTGAATGCTTCAAAACAAGATGCTTGCCTAGCCCACTAAATCACTTGAAATTCTCACGAATGAGCTTGTCTAGGGCGTTCTTGTTTGTGATGCAATTAACACGAAGTAGCAACCTAAGCCGGGGACACGGCCCATGTGGAGATTACTATAATTGCCCGGCATTAAAGCTCCATAAATATTGAGCACATGAACTTCACTCGCACACGAGAAGAGAAAATTGATCCTCAATAGGAACCACATGCTCCTTGCCCGTGCAATGGTAGATAATTAATAGCCATCATTTCGTGGGACAACGCGGTTAACAAAATCATCCGGCCAAGCTATGGATAAGAGGCCGAGTAGCATAGAGGAAACTAATATATACTATAATACTAGATTTTCTAAGTGGAAGTGTGGAAGGAAGAAAAAGATAAGGAAGTTGATTGCCATGCTTTGGACCTAAGCACACTGGATGGGATACAAAATGTGAGCAACTTAAATCGTGGGCTTGAGAGACATCGGGTATGCAGCGACAAGTTTCTAGATGCTTTGATGGTCCACGAGCGCTTTTCTTTCTCCAGCCTATGCAAATGTGTCTAGTAAATCTCTCATCGGCTGCTCCGTTGTGTTCCTTGGCTCTCTCCTTTTTCCACATTGCCATGCGGTCTGTAGTTCTTGGCCGCATGTTGGTTTTAGAATGCTAGATCCGAAACCAGGAGCAACACGTACATGTACGTGCTAAGTTAGCCTTTTGTTTTAGAGAACTTCGCTGCACTTTATTCAACAACGATGTTCAAAGGGATTGTTAGTAGATCATGTGGCGCCATTAAACACACAATCATCCTCTTTTTTAACGAGTTCCACCGGCTTCATGCTGATGTTGACCGGTTTAACGGAGCACATATGATCCCATTAGTAGAAAAGGGGGCAATGGTCCAGGCCGGGCCAGCCCATTAGTCCCAGTTCAGTCCAGAACCGGGACCGATGGGGGCATTGGACCCGGTTCGTGAGCCCCGGGGGCAGTGGCGGAGCTAGACAGGATGTCCAGGGGGGCGAGGTAGCAAATATGGTTGTTTGGAGGGGCCAAAAGCTAAAAAATCTAAT